ATCTTAATCTATGACCTAGGGCTCCAGGTCATAGGCATGTTTTATCTGGTAAAAAAAGAAGTATCCTTAGAAGTGAGATTTCAATGTAAACAATCTATAGGTGAAAAAAAAATTTCTTCAATAATTTGATAAAAATAAATGGAGAAATAACAGTAAAATAATATTAATACTATTTATTTTAATTTTATTTTGGTAATGGTAGGGATTGAACCTGTATCTTGCACATGCTATACAAGCACTTTACCACTGACTTTTGTTTTTTTTTGGGTACCAGGGATTGAACTCAGGACCTTGTGCTTGCGAGGCAGGTGGTGGCACCACTGAGCTAAATCCCCAGCCTCACTGAGTTTTTTTTTTGGTACCGAGGATCGAACTCGGGTCCTTGGGCTTGCGCAGCAAGTGGCAAAACCACTGAGCTAAATCCCCGGCAAGTGTTGTTTTTGAGACTGGGTCTTGCTATGGTTGCACAGGTTGGTTTCAAACTCCTGGATTCAAGTAATCCTCCCACTGTTCCTGGCTTTATGTTATTTTATATTTATATGATACTTTAAAATTTATAAATTATACAACTGTGTTATTTTATTATACTACATGTAAACTAGAAAGTCTATGAAAGATAATAAAAGAATCCAAAGATTCATGAACAGTGATTAAATTTCTCATTGCCAAATAGCTCAAGTCAATTCTGGTTTCATTTATTTTCTGACTCAGGTCAAAAAACTAACTTTTGGGAAAAGCCCCAAGATGCAAATATTGAAATTTCAACTTGCAGGCACTGTGTAGTAGGATAAAACACAGTAACTGCCACTTCCCTTGTCCTTGGCAGTCTGTATGTATGGTGGGTGTGTTCTAAGGTCTCAATTATATTCTAAGTGGTAGAACTGTCTATAATAAGCCAATTCCCCATTCTCTTATTCCTAAAGCTTGTTTTACATCTTATCTGGTAGAGCAAGTTAACTTTCATTTTTTTTCAAGACTGTATTGTTCTAAAATAAATTTAGTATCTATTTGTCAAATTCGAGATTTTGTAGAAATCCACTGAATTTAGATTAATTTTGGAATGATTGTCATCTTTACAACAGTCTTTCAATTCATGAATATATTTCATTTGGATGTTTTGCTTTTCAATTATGATTTTAATTTTAGAAGTCTTACACACTGAATATATTTTGGAATTGTACTTTCTAGTTGGTGGCTGACAGTAAATAGGGCTGCCATTAATTTTTATTTCTTGTTCTTTTATCTAAACACTTTACTGAACTCCTGTTTTTTCCTTGTTTTTTGTTTTTGAGTCAGGGTCTTGCTATATAGTTCAGGCTGGCCTTGAACTCATGGTGATCCTCCTGCCTCAGTCTCTAAAGTGCTGGGATTATAGGTTGTGCCACCACATGTGGCTGAACTTTTCTATTCTAAATTCTTTATAGAGATTCTCTTAAATTTTCTATATAAGTAGTCATATTATTTGGATATGATTTTGTTTCTTTCTCGGGCATGCCTTCTATGTTTCAAAATGACTTAACTCTTTTAGTACACTAATGGTATTCTCTCTCTTTTTGTCTACACTGATCTGAATTTATTTATAATATGGCAGGAGAAAGGGAGATATACCATCTCAGTTTACTATTTGGTTCCAAATATGAATTTAACTATCTATATAACTTTAGTAGTAATCTTTATTTTTATTTATTTATTTTTTTCAGTACCAGGGATCGAACTCAGCACCTTGCGCTTGGAAGGCAGGTGTGGTGCCATAAGCTAAATCCCCTGGTCCTTAACTATATAACTTTAAATAATACATTTAGTCTTAACTTACTGGGTTTATGAGGTACTGTTATTGCTAGCCTATAGCCTTTACTCCCCCTTTCTTTGCCAGCAGAACAGGAAATGTTTGGCTGACCGTGCACGTCACCGGACTCGAGGGTCATGCAGAAGTACTCTCAGTCAGTCCTCCTCAGCCACTGGTTAGGGCGTACAGGTGACTCAGTTCTGGCTAGGGACAAGTGAAGTCTTTTATTTCCCTCCTCCTTCTTTATGTAAGTAGCGCGCCCTAACAGATTGTGCCACTGAAGCTCTGCCTCCTCCTTTTTTATTTTATTATTTAATTATGTATTTTTTTGGTACCGGGGATTGAACTTGGGTTTCAAGGCAGGCGGCAGAAACACTGAGCTAAATCCCCGGCCCAGCCTCATCCTTTTTTAGCAGTGGTGGTGGTGGTGGTGGTGGGGTAAGGTGGGTTGGGAAGAGAGCCTTCTAGAAAAACTTTCTTGGCTTTTGAAAAGACATTCATTGGAAAGAAAGAGTCTCTTTTTTCCTGCAAGATAGAATTTTGTTTGCTTGTGACAGCTGTAACTATGACATGCCAAGGATTGTAAAGCAAAAAGACGAAAAGAACCTGAGTCCTTGATACCATCACTGGTACTCTAAGGTGATGATACTTGGACCCACCTCTAATTTTAGATTGCCCTAATATCTCAGTTAGAATATTTTCTTTGATTTACTATTGAGCCCATCTTTTTTTCTGCCATTGTTGCTGAGAGCATCTTAACCGAGACACTGAGAGAACCTGCTTACAGATAGGCTTAAGTGGACACATATGCAAAACCCCTGTACCTACAGTGCAAGTGGAACTGGCTGCCTTACCGCTGAAACAGCAGGGACAATGGCCTAGAACCCAAAAAGGAGGCCTGGACAATGTGGCTTGTTAGGTGGCAGTTATCATCTTACTTGGCACTATAAACTGCTTTTGTGTACTGACACTTCTGGGAGCTCTTAACATAATTAGCCCCAAATTCTGTTTCTTCCACTTGGTGGACAATTCATTCTGTTGGGCTACTAAGGCCACTAAACTTTGGTTACATCTTCGTGAAACTGAAAGGAAACAAAGAGCAGCAGCATCTCCTCTCTGCATCTTTTGTGTGTTTTGAGACAGGGTCTTTCTATGTAGCCCAGGCTGGCCTCACACTAGCAGTGATGCGCCTGCCTCAGCCTCCTAATTGCTGCGATCACAGGTGTGTGCCACCACACCAGGCTCCTCTCTATGCCTTTATCACAAGTATGTCACTTGCAGGGCTATTCTGCTGCTGAGCTGCTTCAGGAATGAACAGAAGCAAGAACAAGTTTTTAATTCACTCATGTCCTGACCTTGGCCCTAATTGTGGCCTTGTCACTGAATCTTTAATTTAATTTAATTTAATTTAATTTAATTTTTTGGTACCAGGGATCAAACTCAGTGAATCTTTAATTTCAGACAGTATTTACTGCACTTCAGCATGTAAAATGCAGAAATAAGCATCCTACACTTTCTGCTGCTTTTTTGATTTAGCACTTAATCACATATTTCTTGCAGTGTGATTCAGCTTTTCAGGTAAGTATTTTTGACTACCTCAAAGTTTCCTGTATTTTTTACTCTCTGTATTCCTCATAGTACCAAGTATAGCCCTCCTAAATATGTTTAGTTAAAAATTAAATACAGAGAAACTATTAAGCATTTCTCATTCTTGTGTTCTCTAAAAATTACAGACAAGCTGTAACAAGAAAACAGTTTATCTTCAGTGAGCACCTCAGAACACACTATGACTTCATCTCTTTACTTCTTTCCCCTTTATTCTTCTAGGGTGGAATAAAGTATACAGCACTTAAAAACTTACTCCTTCCTATGTTATTCTATTATTTAAGATTTGTGTTTCCTATCTCATCTCTTTCATTTTCTTAATCATCATTTCCCTTTTTCTGGGTGGAATGGAAGCACACTTGCAGCATCTATTATAATGATAAATGTAATTTTTAATAGCTAGTATTTATTAAGTGCTACAATAGGCCAGCCATTATGCTAAGAGTTTTACCTCATTTAATCTGTACAACTGCACATGAGCCAAAGAAATTATTTACTAGACAGTTTGTATGGATAAGTAATTAGCATTTTTGAAAGGGTAAATGATTTGATTACAACAGCCCACCTATGTCTAGGTCAGAAACTTGAAACCAGAGCTAACTCTTACATTATACCATACTGTCTTCCTAATATAACTTATTGCCTTCTGTCTTTTCCTCCCTGAATGATAAAGGCTCAAGGAAATTTCTGGAAGCACTTCCAAAACCCAAAGCAATATATATACCTGGTTAAAAAAGTGTAGAAGAGGGCCGGGGATTTAGCTCAGTGGTGCTGCCTCCTGCCTAGCAAGTGCAAGGTCCTGAGTTCAATCCCCGGTACCAAAAAAAAAAAAAGAAAAAAAAGAATAAAAAAGTGTGGAAGGATTAGTAACAAGAAGCGACACTCTACAGCCCCAGTTCACTCCCCACAGACGACATTTTTGACCATTTATTGTTGTGGTCCTTGATGATTATGCCCATATCTGCTGCTCACACAATCTTACATATTTATGGCATTATACCTACCTGTTTTCTGTCACGAGAGAGATGACTTAACTCACAACTCCCAGGCCCCCAAACTTACATTCTTCCTTCATTCTCCTAACACAATAATAATATCACTAGACATCAATTTACAAACTTCAAACTGCATAAATGAACTTTATTTTTTGTTCAAGCAATCACAATATCTTTTGCTTCTCTACTTTGTAAATTAGGCCATGTTTCTCTTTATTAATTGAGTAATGATGTCCAATCTAAACAGTTCCTATCTCAAAAAATGAAAATTAAATGGCTTTTAACTTGTAGGTCTCAAAGTACATCGTTATGAGCCAGCAATCTTTTTTGTTTATTTATTTTTTAAGACAGGGTCTCACTATGTAGCCCAGGTTGGCCTCAAACTCATAACAATCCTCCTGCCTCAGCCTCCCGAGTCCTGGGATTACAGGGTTGCGCCACAATGCCCAGACAAGCCAGCAGTCTTTAACTGAATTAAAGGGTCCCTTGTCCCCATCCTAGCAGACCAAACATGAGTCGTTAAGTGTTTCATGAAGGTGCTGGATTGGACTTGACATTATTACTGTAACAACCAGCTGTCTAACCTTTGAAAACTAGTAGAGTACAGTACTCACCTGCTGTTGTCCCTGCAATCGCTGCTGTAGCTGAAGTCGAAGTTGGTTGGGTGCGGCTGGAGGTCTGTTTAGAGTCTGCCTGGGCTGCATGCCTATGCCAGGTGAAAAAGCGCCTCGGGGTGGCGTTACCTGAACAGGCATGGTCCCCAGTGAAGGCTTCTGTCTGACCATGCCTTGGAAAGGGCTGGGGAGACTGGCAGTAGGAGAAGGAGAAGAGTAAGGCTGGGGATAGAGGTTGGGTCTTTCTTCCATCATCAAAGGTGGTGTTGCTTGTTGTGGTGGAAATCTCTCTGACAATACATCTAATCCACCCCCCTGTTAAAAAAGAAGCCAGAACATTTTAGAAATAAATGTATGTTAATAAATGACATGCATCTCTAAATAACTCTGGATCTGAGAGCAGGCAGAGAGTGTCATCATAATATATACATTCTGAATTCATGCTCTCCAGAAGTTTATCACCTAAAGGAATCATTTATGAAATTGCTTTTTGAAATGGAATAACAGATTAACTGAGATGTTTTAAATCTTAATAAAGAGATGAAAATATGGGTAAAATAAATGTCCTAAATTAATGGAATGAAGTTACAAGTTTGAAAAGAACTTCAATGTAAAGCCTAAGAAGCAATAAACTTTACATTAAGTAACCATGAGAAGTAGAGATCAAAAACAGGAAGCAATTAGGTATTTTTCTATCTCAAATACAGAAGTCACCTTATTTGAAAAAAATCCATACCTGATGTAACAGAAGGCCACAGAGTTATGGCTTTCAGTGTTAACTATTATTTGTTGTAAGAAATATAAGTGGGCCGGGGATTTAGCTCAGTGGTTTCGTCGCCTGCCTCACAAGTACAAGGACCCAAGTTCGCTCCCCGGTACCAAAAAAAAAAAAAA